TATATGACTATATTTTAAAAAAGTATTTTTTAGTGATAGAAATATCGTTAAGAATATATCAAAAAAACCAAAAAGTTATTAGAACTTATTTATCTATTATTCGTATAAAAACTATATATTAAAAATTAATGATCGACTTACCGTTGTTGTTGCTGGAGTTGTAGCTGTATGTGGTGTATAAGCAGCATATGCTGGTTGCGGTAATGGTGCTGTATATCTGTATGCTTGTTGGGCTGCAGCGGCTGCAGCAGCTGCTGCAGCTGGAGCGTATCCTTGTGGTGTCCAACTAGCACCGCGATATGGAGCACCTGCTAAGCCACCTGCTGCTGCTGGACTAGTCATAGCTGGTCGTGGAGCTCCTTTTATTGCAACCGCCGGAGCTGGAGGCGGAGCGCCCGGAAATGCTGTACGAGGTGGTACTGTGGAAGAGCTTCCCTAAAAACAAAATTTTTTATATTAATAAAAATATTTTTATTTTAAAATTAAAAATATTGTATATATAAAAATAATTAATGTCAAAGAAAAAACACATTTTTCAGTTAAAAAGTCTTTGAGTTTGTTCGATTATTATTTTAATATTAAGTAATTTTAAATTGATTTTCGCCTGAAACTAATCATTTATTATTATGTTTACACAACATAAAATGTGTTATCGAATAAGTCGTTTATACGTTACAACAGTTAACAACTCTTAGTCAACATCTTGAGTTCGTTTCATTGTGATAAGTTTGGATAAGTTTCAATATGGTTTAGGAATGCGTTTATACGTGTGTGTCCAATTAAATCGTTTTGAATTCCCGCAAATTATGTTAAGAAGTTTTATAAATGTGGTTTATATTGATCAATATATTTTAAAACTGAAAAATAAAATATGACTTATTTTTAAATTAAGTCGAAGACTTAAAAAATATTATCAATGCAAATGATATTGATTACGTTTTGTTTTAGGTGCCATAAAGAGGTATGCAACATTTGTTTCAGACACTAAAATTTGAAATGAAATTGCAACAATATTTATAGTGCTTGTATCGACCAGCAGGCAGCAAGGCAGCAAGCAGGCAAATGCAAAAACATTTTTGGCAACCAAAAGGATTTATAGAAATAAATAAATTTTGCATTTAAAATGCGGGGAACAAACAGCAACTATAAAACAATTTCCAATTTTGAACTCACAATATCAGCAATGTAAAATAGCCGCAGCAACATAAATTTAAACTTTTGCATTGGCAGAAAATACATTTTAAGTTTAAAAATGTATACATAACAATTGCGATTGCAAGTGCAGTGCAGAACGTTTGAAAGTTTTCGATTTTTGGTTGTTTCATGCCACATCCTGTTGTGTTATTACTGTTGCTGTTGCAGTTGCAGATGCAGTCACAGCTACAGCTACATTTACCATTGCTGCTGCTGATAACAACTACAAATATAACACAGCTAAAATTGCTAGAACGACATCAACATCAGCAAGGACGGCTACAGTAAACAGCATTCGGGAGGCTAAAAACAATCACTTCAATTGCAACAACAAAATAAGTGCAATGTGAGAGGATGTGTAGTGCTTGTTACAGCTTCAAATACGCCAGTATCAGCAGCAGAAGTAGCAGCAACAGCAGCAACAGCAGCAACAACAGCAGCAGCAGCAGCAACCAAATTCGTTTGGTGATAACTTTAAATTAAAACTATTTCCGTTTGTATACTAAGTGCTTAGCTGCAGTTGAAGAGGAAATGCCATGAGAATTGGGCACTAAACTGATAAAAACCACAAAACGTATTTAACGGATGTAGTCATACATTAGATATTAGTAACAAAAGTAACTTGCTCTTGTGGTGGTTTAAATGCATGATTTATAAGAAATTTCGTTATCCTGACATATAGTTGAGGTAAAACACTTGAAAACAAACTAAAATAAATTAGCGTATTATAAACAAAATTCCTTAAGCTAAACAATTGTATACAATTGTAAAGATATATAATTTTTTCTAATTTTGGCAATATAGAAAAAATATTTTAGTAATGAATTTTAAAATACACAAGTTTGAAAACAATTCAACAAAATGATGGTGAAACGTGAAAAACATCACAGTGAGAGGTTAAAACTGTTTACCAGGCGGAGGCTATTCCATCGACATAAAGATATGTCAATCATGAAACTTATCAAGTCAATTTTGATATGTCAAACGGATGTAATTACATCCGGAGCAGCATAATTTCTAAATTTCTAAGATAATAAAATCTATATTCTTACAAATTGTCAGGAGGCTATTAACCACTACTATAAGTGGTCAATGTCCCTTCACAAAATAGTTCACAAATGATGACAAATATTTACTTATTACTCAGTAGTTATAATGCAAAGCAGCTTCAGTTTAAGCTCCGCGTTATGCGAATATAGAGAGAAATTACAACGTTGATGACTTAGGTAAATCGATCTCCTCGACAGAAATTTCCGTATCAAATTCTGTTCCTATAAATGACCGACAAAGATTTAACCATGCTGTTTATATTTAACCTGTTCTGTGAAAAGTCTTATAGATCGTGTTCGACATAGTTTTATAGTGGCGTTGTTTTATTACACTCCAGAAGGAAGTGTTACTTTATTTCAGATACTTATGTTTCATAGTTACATTTAATTCAAAGTGTCCATTCGAGATGTGTGTGCTTACGATGTCGTGTCCGCCTAGCTGGAAATATCTGCTTATCGTCACTATTAACCTTTTACATACTACCCACACAGATGTATTAGAACCAACATACACGAGGATATCAGACAAGTACCTAAATGAATAAATGAATCCGGCTGGTTGTTAAATGCCTAACTCTCCTCCCAAAATCACGAAAAGTGAGAAAAGTTTTTGCTGTAAACTGAAAAGGATTCTACCTCTTCTAAATTTACCTTCAATAAGCATATTTATAGTAAATTGGATTTGGCATCAGTTTACAGAAGCAGTGGTGTATTTAGATAGGAGATTTGGAGCACAGATTCAATCTTCTTTGATAATAACATATACAGAAAACATGCTGCAAAAATTCCAAAAAAAAATTGGATCTTTTTTCGTAAATACTATATAACTATTGTAGGGACTCCATATTTTGTATATAATTTAAGACCACCGTTTTCAAAAACAAGCTAATTATTGTAATAACAATCATTATAAGTCATTATTGAGAATTAAAATTGTATCCTACATTGATTGCAAGAA